CATGGGGCCAACAGGCACGGTCAAGCCTCTCCCACAGGCCAGCGACTTCTATACAGTTCCTTGTATCTCTGCAGTCTTCCCAAACCCTTCTCAGAGCTGGGTATGGTGTTGCTGCAGGACTCAAGTGACTGAAGCAAAGAACCGAGAGTTAAAGACTCGCCTGAGCCACGGAGTGAATCCCAGTCTCAAGAAGAAGGCCCACAGGTTGAACGAGTCCAGGCCTCTGAGAGTCGTCCACACTGATGCTTTGAGGCCTGTGTTGTGTTGAGGCCACACATCATGGTGGAACAAAACCACCCATATATAAGAGGGGATGAAGAAAAGCCCACGTCCCACCGTGCCTTTCAAAAGCACATTCCCAGCCGCCCAAGCGCCTCTTAAAGCGCCATCTGCCAGTAGTACAGTCCTGAGGAGCCAGCTTCTACTACCTAGGCCTTTGGGGGCTGCCTGAGACGAAACACACAGCCTCACTCACCCAGACAGTGGTTCACCAGGGCCTAGAGTTCCCCACATCTACTATGCAGAGAAGTGTATTCTACCAAAAGTCAAGTTTTACCACACGGTGGTGTGGTCCTCCAGACCACTCGACTTCTTGCTGGCTAATAAGTAATGAATGATCTCTTGTATGGAGTTTAAACTCACCTCATTGTTTTGAAGCCTGCCTAATGTGAATCGTTGTGGCCATGCTAGGGTGTGCCAATCAGGCCCTCCTGTTGGCATTCAAGGCAGTTCTAACTGCAGATGTGCTGGACGGGGGCATCTGGGTGGGAGAGGCTGCAGGCCTCTAAGTCTCCAATTGTGCCTGCCTTTTCAAGTGTCATGACCTCAGGAATGGGGACCTGGCAAGACACAATGACCCTTTTCTACTCCTTGGAACAAGTGGTTTCCTCTAAGGAAGGTACTTTTCCGGAAAACATGTTATTTCAAGGCCTCTTGATTCCAGAATGCAGCAAGTCCCACAGAGAAACTCTGCCAGGTTTCAGAGCCAGGGGCTGCGGAGAGAGGGCGCAGTGGGGGTGCCCGCCCTTCTGCCTGCCTCCTGCAGCTCGGGATCTCCATCTTTCATCTTGCAAACAAACTAGGTGGGCTTCTCATCTCTGCACCCCAGCGAGTTGTGGGAGAGGCCCGGGACTATCACGTACTGGCTAGAGCACCCAGGACACATTCAGACCGGAGCCGACAAAGAAGCCTGAGGCTGGAGGGGGAGGGAGTTAGAGCTGTGGGAGCCAGAGGCTGTTAATCTGAGCAGGAATGTCAGTGGACCGAAGTCTGTTCTTCCAGGAGGGGGAGGGCTCCTCAAAGGATGCTCGGAACTCAGGAGCTGCCGAGAGAGATTGCAGGTAGCAAAGTCCCTATCTTCAAAGCAAGTGCGCAAGCTAGGGATGGTGTCAGTCAGTTCTGCTTAGGTAAGCCTGAGGAGCCAGGTCCCCCAGCTTCCATTCGTCCTGAAGATGTGGACTGGGTCCTACTGAGGTGACACAGACATTATAAGCAACCCGACCTTGCTCCGGCAGAATTGCTGTTGACTCACTAAAAACGGCAGCTCGGGTCTCCACCTGTGCGATGGAGATCGTGGGGCTTCTGCGGCACTGACAACGTGATGTGTGCTGAGACCACAGGGCCTGCTGCAGCTCAAGAATCCGAGGAGACTAGCAGCAGCTCGGGAGCGCGTGGAAAGTTCTGGATTTGGAACGGGGAGGGCCGGGTGCCAGAGTGGCTCTGCGCCGGATTCCTAGGCTGGCCTGGGACAGCTGCTGCCCTTCTGGTATTCTGGTGCCATTCTGTCTTGACCTCACACTGCTGCCTTACTCTCTTGGGAACAGTGAGTGGAAGACAGCAGTAAAGGGTCTCCCTGCTGGCTGTTGCTGGGCCTGTCCTTCTTGTGCAACAGGCTGCAACAGAGAGAGCATGGCACAACATATCCCTCATGTACCATACAAATACCACACATTCCAGACACACACAGCACAGCACAGAAATACACCACACACTCACAGTCAAACCACACACACACACACACACACACATACACACACACCAGACTTCCACAATACATCACACACATAAAACACACACACTAATACCACACATACAAAATATACTGCATATACACACATCACATATCATACACATACCACATGTACTAGCTAATTTTAGGTCACCTTGACACAAACTAGAGTCATCTGAGAGGAGGGAACCTCGCCTGAGAAAATTCCTCCATAGATTGGGCTGTAGGCAAGCCTGTACAGCATTTTTTAAATCAGTGATTAATTAGTATTTAATGTGGGTGGGGCCATCCCTGGGCTGGCGGTCCTGGGTTCTATAAGAAAGCAGGCTGAGCAAGCCATGAGGAGCAAGCCAGCAAGCAGCACCCTCCATGGCCTCTGCATCAGCTCCTGCTTCTGGGACCCTGCCCTGTTTGAATTCCTGTCCTGACTTCCTTCAGTGCTGACAGTGATGTGGAAGTGTGAGCTGAATAAACCCTTTCCTCCCCATGTTGCTTTGGTCATGGTGTTTCCTAGCTAAGATACCACATACACTACACAGGCACTGCACACATTACACATACCATGTATCTCTAGCCATATACATACCACACACACACACATACAACACACCATGTACACATCACAACCTAAAAAGTGACCGTCCACTCTACTCATCCATGCCATTGTCGACCGTTACGCTGCAAACTTCAGGGACCTCTTCTCTGTGCTCTCCTCTGACAGCCCCCTGCTGTCTTTGACCAGTTCCCAGCCTCTCAGACTCATCCTGTCCCCATAGGGCTACCGGATAACATGCAGGATGCCCTGTAACACTTGATCTTACATAGACAATGGACATCCCGGTGTATGGTTCAAATATCTCATGAAACACATTTATACTCGACGTTATTTATCACCTACATGAATCTCCAGCTTATCTGGCAGGGTTGTGTTTTTATTTGTTAAATCTGGAACCCCCCCAGATTCTCTATTGTGTGTTCTCCCTACTTTCCCACCCCTGCTCTAGCTGCACCCCTCAACCCTTTCCTTTGTTATGGTGTTTTATCACAGGGAGGACAACCATCCCTGTTCTAAGTCCTCCTCCTCTGGATAGCATCCGCCTGCCCTCACACCTGCCTCCACACTCCTCTGGATAGCACCCCCTGCCCTCAGACTAGCCTCCACACCCCTCTGGATAGCACCCCCTGCCCTCAGACTAGCCTCCACACTCCTCTGGATAGCATCTCCCTGCCCTCAGACCTGCCTCCACACTCCTCTGGATAGCACCCCCTGCCCTCAGACCTGCCTCCACACTCCTCTGGATAGCACCCCCTGCCCTCAGACTAGCCTCCACACCCCTCTGGATAGCACCCCCTGCCCTCAGACTAGCCTCCACACTCCTCTGGATAGCATCTCCCTGCCCTCAGACCTGCCTCCACACTCCTCTGGATAGCACCCCCTGCCCTCAGACCTGCCTCCACACTCCTCTGGATAGCACCCCCTGCCCTCAGACCTGCCTCCACACTCCTCTGGATAGCACCCCCTGCCCTCAGACCTGCCTCCACACTCCTCTGGGAGCCTGGGGTCCATGTCCTGCCTCAAGAGCCAGCTCCCTACTGCAGCAGCAGCAGCAGGTGGCCCTGCCCTGGAGCCTGCACCTGCCTAGCCCCCCAAAACAAGCAAGGCTGCCTGCCTCAGTAGGTTCCCTATGCCAACACCTTCCTGGATCCACTCACTGGTCTCTTCTCCCCTCTAGTCCAGCTTGGGGGACCTCCTCTTCCCAAATTTTCCTGGGCTTCCCACCCCACCCCCCAGCACCCAAAGCAGGACCAGGTCTGCCTGATTCCCGTCTCTGAGCATGCAGAGCTCTGTCCATGCTCACTGACTGCAGGACAGAAGGAACTGTGGAATGAATGAATAAAACGCATGGGGGAGTGAAGAAATAGGACTCCTTACATGATGGACTGAGCAGATGGATGGACCGTGTCATAGTTAGGGAATCTATTGGTGTGATAAAACACCTTAACCAAAAGCCGCTTGGGAAGGGCCTCCGCTACACACACACACACACACACACACACTCACACTCACACACACTCACACTCACACACTCACACACTCACACACTCACACACACTCTCACTCTCACACACTCACACACTCTCACTCTCACACACTCACACACTCTCACACACTCATACACACTCACACACACTCACACTCACACACTCTCACACACTCACTCACACACACTCACACACACACACACACACAGAGGCTCCTGTGTTCAAGTGTTTCATTGCATCTGGGGACTCACCAACCTCCAAGCAGTCTAGGTGTCCCTGGGAAGGGGGCTCTGCAGAGTTCCTGTGGACCTCCAAGGAAGGTCTTCAGAGGTGGCCTCAGGCCAGAGCTCTGCCTGGGGTGAAGTCAGACCCCTGTCAAGCAGTCACTCAGAGGGAGCTAAGGTGAGGGGTGACTCAGTCTGGCTCCTTCTTTGCCCAGTCCTGCTTCTGCCTTTCTCCCTCATCCTTAGCAGACATCTTAACACAACACTGACTTTCAACCTGCAGCAAGTCCCTTCACTTAGTCCCCAGGACCCCTGCCTCCCTTCTGGCAAATCTATGAAAGCTCCAGTCAGGGACTTGGTATCCAGAGTGATGAGGGCACGTTTCCAGGGGCTTCTATGACCTCCCCAGACTCACCCTACCCCCACCCCATCTATCAGCCTGACTCCCTCCCTCACTGCGCCCGTTCCCTCCACCCCCACGGCCACACATCTCCAGACCCAAGCCTGTCTCTCTGGACCCTTCCTATGGCAGACACATGTCTGGACGCCCTTATGTCCCAGAGGCCTCGTTCAATCTTGTCCCCCTTGACAAGTCAGGTCCTAAGAGGTCCCCTACTCAGGCCAGCTGCAGACACAATTCAGCAGCTCACAGTTTTCCACTCTTCCGATCATAGTCTTTAAATATGGCATCTATTTTGTGATCATGGAGAAAGCAGATTTTCTAATTAATAAAAAACAAATGTCCCTTTATTTATGGTAAAAAAAAACAGCAACTTCTTCGCATGTGCTGAAATGTAACATTTAACTTTTTTGGAATTATCTTTCAGCTCACAATGTTTCCGTCATTCCTAAGTGACACAAATTGCTCACATTTGCTAAGAATAGACGCGGTCTGTCGGACTATAGCAATAAGGCAAGTCTGTTCAAAATGTGTTTCGAGTCTTCTCGGTGGCCTTCCGGCTAATGAAACTCCTTGGGCTTTCTGTGACTCTTTTTCTATTCTGCTTCCTTCTGTGATTTTCCAAAGCAGATTTGGAAAGACCCATAAAAGGATATGCATTCAAAATTATAAAATAAGGCATGTATTCCCAGAAAACAGCCCTTTGGTGTCAGAATTTCAGTGCTGATCAGGGTTTAGGTGTCCAAAACTACAAACAAACAAGAAGTAGTTCCTCAAAATCTCCACTTGAGGGCGCTGGTTCCTTGGGTGGCAAATAGATTTTGCACAGGCATCCTGCTGACAGGATGCTAACTTCTGGTGCGGTTCCATAGCCGCCTGGAGCTACCCCACCATAGGATGCCACACGGTGTCTGTCCACACCTCCTTAGGTCCTCAGCTCCATTGTGAGTAGGGCCCAGCTTAGGGGTAACTCACACCTGATCCCCACACTCAGCTCCCCCAGAATAGAGGGCAGAGCAAGTCGGAATGAGGGAAGGTAAGAAGTCTGTGGAACATTGAAAGACAAAGATGGAGGCCTGGGAGGGGTGAGACACCAGACAATGCTTCTTGAAGGGGTAGCCGGGCCTGGCTGAACAAATGATGAGGGATGGCCACCCTCACGCAACGGTACAGAAGTTCCGGGCAGTCGGCAATGGCCGGGATTGGAGACCAGGCCCTGTGAAGATGGACGCTTCCTGGTGAAACGTGGCCACGGTGAAGCTGTTCCGGGGGCCCATCTCTGGGTCACTGGTCTTTGAGTCATAGCTGAAGTAGCAGAGGATGCAAGTGATGACCACGGTGACAGCAAGGAGCACCGCCACCATTCCAATCACTGCTGTCTCCATGGTTCCAGTGACACTTGTCACACGCCGGCGGCCTCTGAGCCTCAGTGTCCCATCAGCAACAAGGGCTACTGGTCGTCACAGGGGCTGGACGGCTGCCCCTCCTCGGTCTTCTAAGACTCTGGTCCGAGGCCTCGGATTGTGCCATCCTAACCCTTCTGCTGGTCTTTGGTCTAGTTTTTAACTTCAGGTCAGACCTGCAAGAGATGTGGTCAGCTCCACTGGCAGCTTTTAGAAGCACCATCAGGGAAGATGTAAGCGCATGGTTCCCTGGACATGGATGGAGCAAGGGAAGGAGAGAGATGCCAGGCCAGCGCTGGTCCATTGCAATGCCTCGGGACTTCAAGAGTTTCAAGAGCGACTGACTTTTAAGAAAGAAAGAAAGAAAGAAAGAAAGAGAGAGAGAGAGAGAGAGAGAGAGAGAGAGAGAGAGAGAGAGAGAAAGAAAGAAAGAAAGAAAGAAAGAAAGAAAGAAAGAAAGAAAGAAAGAAAGAAAGAGCAGCTATATACTTGGGAAGACAAAGCCTCCCCGTCGGTGTACCCAGGAGGAGCCTGGCTCCTCCGAGGGAGGTACCCGAGGCAGCCTTCCCGTTGGCCTCTCTGCTGCCCTCCCTGCCCCTGGCCCCGGGCTGGAAGGCAGGTGTGGAGAAGGGTACTTGCCAGCTCTTAGCAACGTGGAGGCTCGGTGAGGCAGCACACCCAGCCCATTACGAATGCCAGGGGCCTCCAGGGAGCGAGACAGAGAGAGGCTGGTTGTGCTTGACCTCGCTTTCTGGGCAGGGCTGGGAAGTATGGTACGGAGAGGGAAGGACCGTCTCCAACCCCTCAGTGACACCTCATGGGGCCCTCTCACTTTCTATACACAAAAGGGCCCCCTTTCTGCTGCCACCCGGGGCCCACTGCTCACACTGGGCGGACTTACCCCAGATCTCAGGCCTGCCAGCTCTCCCTCCTTGTCTGGTGACCACCCCAGGCGGCCATGGCTCTTCCCCGAAGCCCGCAGTGGTTTTCGTTGGTGCGGCCTGGAACTTGGCAGGGAGATGTCTGAGCAGCTGTGAGTACTTCCTGAATCCCTTCCTCCGATTGTGACTGGAGGCCTGTGACCCATAGCCACCACCTCCTCAGTTACCGCACTCAGCCCCCCACACACACACTTGCTTGTACTATCAATCCTTAACTGCCCCTTGGATATCAGGGAGGGAGCCCCGCCCATGCCCACTTATACCTGGCACCTCCTGAGACTGCACCACATCCAGAAAGGGATCTGTGGTATCAGCCTGCCCTTTACCATATTATGAAACATGGAGTCTTCCAGGTACTGGCCACAGCCAGGCCTGTCTAATAAACACCGGTCCCACAGCCCTGTGCAGCGATCGGAACCTCCATTTCACAGGTACAGTCACAGATACTCCTGGCCAGTGAGTCGGGATAAGGACAGCACCAAAGGGCAGAGCAGGGACTCCCTTCCTGTACTCCAACTTCACAGGGAACTTACAGAGTGATCACCAGATCACCGTTTCCCCGATCAGGACCCCAGGGCCCCTGAGAAGAGAGAGAACAGGGCCCAAGGTCACGCAGCCTGGATCTTTTCCAGATTCTCCAAGGCCCAAGAGAACTTCAGTGGCATTATGGGTAAACAGCTACTCGGGAGGAGAGCAAACAATGCACTGTTTTGTTCTAGCCCAGCCTCTTTTCTAAGATGCTCCAACAATCTGGGCTCATCCTCCTCATGGGTACAGGGAGTCAAGCCCTTGGCAATCTTTGTCTTTAACTGGGGCAACCGGAAGTCGAGAGACGTAAACAGGAAGCACACATCAGAGACATCTGGTCCCCCAGCGTCCCCTGGTGGGGCTGGGAGGTGAGCCCTGGAGACTGCTGGGAGCTTGTTTATCTCACTTCTCCGTTGCCTGTTCTTTGAGTGGTGGGGAGAACGACCTGGCATTTCCAGCAGGAATGTCCAGCCCTGTTACCTTCTACCTTGTATAATTTCCTACCTACTCTTTCCCCTCTGTCCCATTCTTGAATTATCTGTCCCCTTGAAGCCACAGCAGCGGGCAGGTCTGCAGCAGGCAGGATGCAGGAGGCTGCGAATAGGGAGGGGCGGGGCTAGGGCTGGGCTGAGCTGAACACGGTGATGAGGGAGGAGAGATGGGTATGATGGACTCTCCAGAGAGAAATCAACCCATCAGACCTCTTGTCCACTTTCCCATCACAGAAATCTAATGTGGTCGGCATTGTCGTCTCTCCTCCGGCTTCCCCACTGGTCACTCCTCGCCTAGTCCTCACAGAGAGTCCACTGGGAGAGGGAAGGAAAGGGACATTTTATTCCTGTGAGTCACCCTGACTGTCTGGCCAGTTCCCTCCCCCACCGAGCCTTGCCCTGCTTCTCCCTTGTTCCCAGGCTTAGGCTGGGACAAGATTTCCTTTCCCTTCACAGGTAGCGTTTGGACCCTTGCCTGTCTGTTGACTTCGGTAGAAGTCCCTACAATCTATGTCATTTTAACGAAGGGGAAACTGAGGTCCAGGCCACCCAGCACTCCAAGCAATTTAAATAACTGCTGCTCCCTCTGGTCTTATCAGCCACTACTGTGAATCTGCAAACATGCAGGCTGGAGACTCAAGGTTGAGAATCCCTACCCCGTGCCCAAAGAAACACCACCCAGTGTGGCCAGAGGGTGGCGCCTGCCCTGGACCATGCTCGGAGGAGCACTGGAGGCAGAGTGCTCAGGACACTGGTCTACGTGGTCTCAACCGTCCTTTCTCTAAAACCCTGGGTGTCCACACCGATGTTTCCTTCTAGCGTAGGCAGGGGCCACTCACTTCTCCCCATTCTACAGGCAGATCGCGGGTCCAGCTCCCCATGGAAGAGTTCCCAGGGCCTCCCTCCTCCCACGGTGCTACAATTAAGCACACTCTCACAAAAAAAAAATATATACATGCTTTCTGGTGGCTTTTATTTGTTATAGACAAGCAACAATGAATGGGCCGCCTGCCCCATACACAGTCTGCCCCTGGGAGGACATCACAGGCTTCCCCAGTCAGATGAGAACCTCATATCCACCGGGACACTGGTTCTAACAGACACCCCTGATACACCTGGGGTCATCAGGAACTGCAGTCACAAGCTAGGATGTCCAGTCAGCAGCCCAGTTCCAAACGCAAGTCCTGCACTGTAAGAGCTACCCAAGTGGTTCCCAGGTCTCTGTTGTTCAGTGGGCAAAGGGCTCATACACAAGTGAAACCCAAACAGGACTCGGGTCCCAGCACCCCATTCACCCCAGAGACACATCCTCTTCTCTGGAAACATCAGGGTCCACTCATTTTGGTGTGGGGTGGAGGGCAGGGCCAGGTAGGTGCCATCCATTGGCGTCAGCGGCGGGCTCCGTGAGCGTGGTGGTGGTGGTGGTGGCGATGAGGAGAGTGGAGGCGCTGGTGATGGAGAGGGTGGTGGTGGTGGTGAAAGCCTGCACTGGTCACCCCAGACGCGTGGCCACGGGGATGATGGTGATGGTGAAAGGCTCCCAGGAGACCCCGGCGCCGGCCATGGAAGAGTCGAGGCCGGGTTTGCCGGACTCGGTTTCTCTCCACGTCATGTTCCTGTGATCTGTGGAAAAGACACATGGCCAGCAGCAGCAGCAGCAGCAAGATGGCCACCACAGTGCCGGCCATCCAGCTCACAAGGGCTGTGCTCCCCAGAGGGCCTAACATCGTGAAGCCGGAGGGTCCCCCTCACTCGGTGGCTCCCTTAGCAGCCTCTGCTCGGCCCTCACGGTCCCTGAAGTTAAGGTTGTCTCGGCTTCTGCAGGCTGGAGAGCAGCCAGGAAATGTGGGAGAGGCCTGTTTGGACTAGCTTCTCGACCAAGAGCAGGGCCAGAAGGCTCTTTGAGGGGAGGCCATGCAGGAAGAGTGGGTGGAGACAGAGGAGCTGTGGGACGGGCTTGCTTGAGGGGAGGGCCCTGAATTTAGGGACAAGAGGTCAAGATCTATTGCTGCCTCCTGGCAGAGGGAGGGCCCTCCTCTGGGCTTCAGTTTCCGAGAAAACACTGTACAGAGATTTAAGGTGTAGGGTTGGGCCTATACAACTCCCAAGCTCTGTGACGGCAGCCTGCAACCGCCTCCACAGCTAAGGGTCTGTGTCTGCCTAGTGAGTTAGCCCCAAGGCCTGTGAACATCGGTCAGGACTGACTGGATCCTGATGAGGGCCACCAGAAGTCCACCATCCAAAGCGGTCTTTGCCTCTCCTGCTGGACCTAGGACGCCAAAGGGCTGGGTGTCAGTCTTGGGTAAATCAGAAGCAGAACAAAAGCCACCTGAGGTCACGCTGGCCAGCCACTGGGCTCCCAGATCAACAATCTCCATGGTTGGCCCCCTCCTTGCTGTCTCATTCTCCCTGTCACAAAGCTCAGGTAATTCCTACTGGCTGGGGACTAGGACAGTGACTGGAATGTGCAGTCTTCAACTCTGTCATTACTGGTTATGAATCTCCCACCTACCCCCCTCTCCCCAGTCATCACAGATGAGGCTCATGGTCTTCCAAAACATTCCTGTTGTCTGCAAGCTGACTGGGATCTCATATGCAGGAGTGGGGGCTCCCCAAAGCTCCAGCTCTGTGCCCTGACCCTTAGGGGCCCTTCAGCCCCTTCCTCCCACTGGTGAGTGCTCCCCACCAACAGGAGTGTTTACCTAACCAGGAGGTGGCTCTCAGGCTCCACAGTAGCTCCACTCTGTAAAGTTTGGCAAGGCTCTTCCAAGGGCCCATTGTTTCCTCTGTGAGGTCCCATGGCAGAGGTGACCTCTGAGGACACGTCCCCTCCTCTAATCACAATCGTGGCTGTTTTCTCTGATATCTTTTGTGAAAGCCTGCAGCAGCTCAGAGGGCTAAATGTCACCTTTGGCCAAGTAGATCTCAGGAGTTGCAGGTCTCATGACTCCAGAGGCATCCCTAGCCCTCTGGAGAAGTCACTTAAACTTTTAATGAGGCTTGAGTAAAGAGCTCCTCCTTCTGGGGCTCTGGAACCAGCTGTCTTCCCTAGAGGCACATTGAACAGGAAGCCTGCTAGAAGCTGGGGGCGTGGGGAAGAGGGAGAGAAGGCTAGACAGAGAACTTCTCTCCCAGACTTCCGCCAAGGAGATGCCCGCTCCACAGCCTGGAACTGAAGACCCTCAGTCATTCCTTAGGGCCCCAGGGAATTATCCCACCCCAGCCCTCCTTAGGGAAACTGAGGGCAGAGAAGGGAAGGAACTTGCCGCGTCTCACCTTTGTGGGTTAATGTCTGTCACAAGCCATTGGTAGAGTTTTAGCGGTGATGGGAAGAGCTGTCCAGGGTTGAAAACGTTACCTGCTGCTGGATTCGCCAGAGACAACGGAAGATGCTGTGCAGTAAGGGTGAGATCTCTCGGGGCCAGGGCTTGAGAGACACTCAGGTACACACATACATGTTTATTTATGGGGTACACCTTTTCTCGCCTCTTGGATAAAAGCTAGGACCTTGAAGTGGCCATCTCATTGGTTGCTTTGGTTACTTAGGGGTAGCAGGCTGCAGTCTGCAGGGCGCAGAAGTAACTCCTCAAGTCCACTATGGGATAGCGTTTTCCTACTTTTAATCCCATGACTGCTTCACTGATAATTCTGAATGGCCTGACTGGACGTAGGGTTTGCTAGACTGATGACCTCAGAGGGACTGCTATGATGAAGCAGTCGCAGCCTCAGAAAAGCTGTGGCTCTGTCATTGTAGCTCCTCCTGCGGTTGAGTCTTCTGCAGCACTGCACGGGTGGCTCTCAGACAGGGCTTCCGACGACCAGCTGACGCACAAGCCTTTGGGGGCTCTCGCTGTCTGCTGCAGTCCCGTGCTTCCCAACGTGCCTCAACTCAACGAACGACTTCGCATGCACACTTTAAAGCCGATGTCACCCTGCAGGAACTCATGATCCCCTTACTTATGTGTGCGCACATTCATGCACTTGTTCATACATGTTCCACGCAAGGTTGTGTGTGGGTGGTTCTTGGTTGGTCAGCAAGAACAACCACATTGTTTTCACTAATTGGTGGCACCACCTAGTGGTGACAGTGAATAAACCACTTTTGTATTCTGACCCATCAAAATTTTCTGTTATCTTGACTTTTGTTGGTAGATCATAATTAACAGCCATACACTTAACTACCTCACCATTCTGAATTATCAATAATATAACCATAGAATTAAAGGTGGGGGAAGGGCAGCAGTAGCACACGCCTTTAATCCCAGCACTAGGAAGACAGAGGCAGGTGATCTCCTTGAGTTCAAAGCCAGCCCGTTTGTTCTACAAGAGCTAGTTCCAGGACAGCTAGGTCTACACAGAGAAACCCTGTTTCGAAAAACAAAAAACAAAAAAAGAAGAATTAAACATGGGGAAATACTATTTTGCAACAGAAGTCAGCCATCACATCCTTGGTCCCGGAACTTAGGTCAATTTTAGGACATTCCTGGGAAGCAGTTGAACGTATGTTCTCCTGGGGCTGTCCAAAGCTATGGAAGAGCAGCCAGGCTGAAGAACAGCCCAGAGGTTGGCTGCAGCAACAAGCAGCTGGCTGACCTTGACCACTGAGAGTGTCTGTCCCAGAGAATCCAGCCAGGGCTCCACCCATCCTTTGGTTTGACAGAAATGCAGGGACAGTGGCCAGCGGGTTCCTAAGCTGGGCACTCAGGTCAGTTGGAGAAAGGAAACACTCTGCCAGTGAACTTAGGGCTGCTGGAAACAAGACCACAGACAAGCAAGCAGGGTCTTCATGCCTCAAAGCAATGTGCTTGGAATTGTTCTATATAAATGTTTCTAGACCCTCATCCCAAGCAAACCAAGACTAAAATCCCCCCATTCAGTAAACATATAGAGAAGAATCAATAGACAAGTTATTGTATCCTTATCACGAGAGTCACTGGACTCCGAGTAGCAGAGACAGTAAAAAACAAAAAACAAAAAAAAAAAAAAAAACTCTCTCATCTGTACTCTATGGAACAAGGACAATCTATGCAACCAGGTTTTTTTAATTTTACATATTAAATTAAATGCTGATGCTGTTGGTGTGTGTGTGTGTGTTTGTGTGTGTGTGTGTGTGTGTGTGTGTGTGTGTGTGTATGTGTGGAGGATAATTTGCAGGAGTCAGTTTTCTCCTACCATGTGGGTCCTGACCCACATCAGATGTTCAGGCTTGGGGGCAAGCACCATTACCCAACTGAGCCATCTCACCAGCCCAGGATGTTTACTTTTAATTAGGAACTCAACCCAGAACATTCTTTATAACTCAGAAAAGAATGGCATTAAAGGGCAATGAGAGGAGGAGAAGAAAGGTCTGGAAATCAAACATGCTTCTTTATTTTTGATTATTTAAGACAGCTTTTTCTGTGCATTCCAGGCTGGTCTTGAACACATGACAGCCTGGCTGACTTCAGGCAGCAATCCTCCCACACCAGCCTTCCAAAATGTGAATGACACACACAACCATGCCCAGAACCTATGGAGAGATAATGATTAAAGAAACAAAGAAAATGGGGCCAGTGAGATGCCCTGGTGAGTAAAGACCCTTGCCACCAAGTCTGGTGACCTGCGTTCACCCCCAGGATTCACCTGGTAGAGGGAGAGAATTGACCCAGAATTCACATGGTAGAATGTACCACAATGTAATAACATTATTAATACATATAATATAAAACAAATAAAATGTAATAAACAACACTTTAAAAACATAAAGAAAATCCTCTGACCTGAAGATGTAAGTCTTCTAATCAAAAGATATGCTGAGACTGGATCCACCATTGAAAGGGGCCAAGCCACATGGGAAGGGCCAATGAGAGCTTAATGTCACTAGAATAATGATAATAGTCTTCAAAGCAACAAGGTAGGACTACCATAGGAAAACATTGGTTTTTGTTTGTTTCCTTTTATTAATTTTATTGAGTTACATATCTTCCCTCTCTTCTTCCCTCCTCCTCTCTCCCCTTCCACCCTCCCCCCTACACCCCACGTTCCCAATTTATTGAGGTCTTGTCTTTTTCTCCTTCCTAGACGGATCCACGTATGTCTCTCTTAGGGTCCTCTTTGTTACCTAGGCTCTCAGGGATTGTGGTCTGTAGGCTGGTTGTCCTTTGCTTTATGTCTAATATCCACTTATGAGAGATACTTGTTATATTTGTCTTTCTGAGTCTGCCTCACTTAGGATGGCTTTTTCTAGTTCCATCCATTTGTCTGCAAATTTCAAAATGCCATGTTTTTACGGTTGAGTAGTACTCCATTGTGTAAATGTACCACATTTTCTTTATCCATTCTTCGGTTGAGGGGCATCTAGGTCATTTTCAGGTTCTGGCTATTACAAATAATGCTGCCTGAACACAGTTGAGTGTCTTTGTGGTATGAACGTGCATCCTTTGGGTATATGCCCAAAAGTGGTACTTCTGGGTCTTGGACCATACTGGTTTCCAAAGTGGCTGCTCAAGTTTGTACTCCTACCAGAAATGGAGGGGTGTTCCCCTTACTCCACATCCTCTCCAGCGTAAACTGTCATCAGAGTTTTTTTATCTTGGCCAAGTTGTTTTGATTTGCATTTCCCTGAAGGTTAAGGATGTTGAGCATTTCCTTAGGTGTCTTCCAGCCATTTGAGATTCCTCTGTTGAGAGTTATCTTTTTAGATCTGTGCCCCATATTTTATTGGATTATTTGGTTATTATAATGTTGTGTTTCTTGAGTTCTTTATATATTTTGGAGATCAGTCCTCTGTCAGATGTGGGGTTGGTAAAGATCGTTTCCCATTCTGTAGGTCACCATTTTGTCTTATTGGTCATGTTTTTTGCTTTACAGAAGCTTCTCAGTTTCAGGAGGTTCCATTTATTCATTGCTGCTCTCAGTGTCTGTGCTACTGGTGTTCTATTTAGGAAGTGGTCTCCTGTGCCAATGCATTCAAGGCCACTTTTTTTTCTTCTATAGGGTTCAGTGTGATTAGTTTTATGTTGAGGTCTCTGATCCATTTGGACTTGAGTTTTGTGCATGGTGATAGATATGGGTCTATGTGCAATCTTCTATATTTCTGCATCCAGTTATGCTAGTACCATTTGTTGAAGATGCTTTCTTTTTTCCATTTTATAATTTTAGCGTCTTTGTCAAAAATTCAAGTGTTCATATGAGTGTGGATCTATATTTGGTTCTTCAATTCAATTCCATTGTTCCACCTGTCTGTCTTTATGCCAATACCAAGCTGTTTTCATTATTATAGCTCTATAGTAGAGCTTGAAGTCAGGGATGGTGATGCCTTCAGAAGTTCCTTTATTGTACAGGATTGTTTGCTTGCTGTCCTAGGTTTTATTTTTCTATATGAAGTTGAGCACTGTCCTTTCAAGGTCTGTGAAGATTTTGACGGGGATTGCATCAAATCTATAGGTAGGATTGCCATTTTACTATGTTGATCCTACCTATCCAAGAGCATGAGAGATTTTTCCATTTTCTGATGTCTTCATCAATTTCTTTCTTCAAGTACTTAAAGTTCTTGTCATACAGGTCTTTCACTTGCTTGGCTAGAGTTACCCCAATAATATTTCATATTATTTGTGGCAATTGTAAAGGGTGTTGTTTCTCTGATTTCTTTCTCAGCCTCAGTATATAGGAAGGCTACTGAATTTTTTTAGTTAATCTTGTATCCTGCTACTTTTATCAGTTGTAGTAGTTCCCTAGTAGAATTTTTGGGATCACTTATGTATACTATCATATCATCAGCAAATAGTGAAAGTTTGACTTCTTCCTTTCCAATTTGTATCTCCTTGATATCCTTTTGTTGTCTTATTGCTCTAGCTAGAGCTTTAAGTTCTATATTGAATAGATTTGGAGAGAGTGTCACCCTTGAATTGTTCCTAATTTCAGTGGGATCACTTTGAGTTTCTCTCCATTTAGTTTGATATTGACTGTTGGCTTGCTGTATATTGTCATT